GTCCGGGTTGCGAGACTTGTATTGGAGTGATGATAACCGGTTATGTTTTGTTAGGCTTTCATGGTATGCTAGGGAAGGGGATGAGAAGAGATGCAGCAGTACAGGAATTTTAATGAACAAAAAAAAAAGGAGGAAGAATTTACTACTTAAAGAAGTACATGGTAACTTAGACTCGTGTGATGCATGACACCATTTAACCTCTGTGAATTTTTCTTGAATAGGAGGTAAGTGCTACACTCTCTCTATATACTACACACACACACACACACACACATACATGTACCTTCCCTCTGATAAATTTTGTTACATAGTAGGTATGTACACCTAGCCTGCCGTGCCTTCCCCTTTCTAATCACAAACTTTCCCTTCCTACTAAGTGCAAACTTGGGTACTAGTATTCACCTAAGTACCTACACCAACACCTACAAGTGGCCTTGACCACCACCCTCACTGACTTCTCTCCTGTGAAGTGAAGTTTCCCTCCATTAACTTCCTTTCATTCAATGTTCAGGTATTCACCCCGGTACCTGCCTGCCTAAATACTATTTAATGCCATCCCACCTACCACATTGCCTCTTTTCTCATACCTTCTCATCTCTCTACCTTTTTCTTCTTTCCCATCTCTTCCATTAAAAAACACCAAAAAAATAAAACAACCACTTACCTACTTCCACGCCTTGTGCACTACTTCTTTTTCCTTTTCTCTTCTTTTTTTGTCTGTCCATCTGGACTTCCAACAATCCCATCACTTCATCACTTGTACCTTGTCACCCTTGATTTCTCTCTCACTATTTGCCATAGACCCTTCTACACGGCTTGTACGTCTTATCTTCTCTCTTGTCGTGTCGCTCCGGTGCTTCTGTCATCTGTCAACCTGGGCTTGCTTGGAAGATGCCCTTCCTGAGAAAAAGCCGCCTTCCCGATGAGTAAGTCCTGTTTTCTAATTCACTACCCCCTTCTATTATCTGAGAATACTGCAAAAACTCGAAGTCATTAACCGAGGAGTCCAACTATTTTTCCGGTCTCCATCCTTTGAACTCGATTGCAGCCAATCCCCAGCTCGTATTTATTCAAATGGGGTTAGAATTAACCCTGACACTGCTAACCTCTCGTGATAGGAGGGCCAGCTCTCTCTCTAAGCAACATCCTCCTGAGAGCAATTACGTAGATGACGACAGCTTATATCTTCCTGGCACCAACTCGGTGTATGTTACCCGAACAAAAAATGGCAAACCTGCCCTTGCCCGCAAGAAAGGAGAGAGGCTCCTCCAAGACTACGGCTTCGATATGCTCGGTCAAAGTTTTGGGATTCCTTCCCGCATGGACTTCGAACGTCAGTCTCAGCGTATGAGCATAGGCTCCCAAAGCTCGGGGGTGCTTTCCAGGCCAGAAACACCACAACCAGGCAGATCGATCTTGAAGTCCAGAAACGGCCGCCGCGAGTATGAGCACGAGCACGAGTACCCAGGAGCTACTCTAAAGACCAGAAGCACGCGTTCTTTGTCAACGCCTGCTCCAAGCACCATATATCAACCAAGCATCAGTATTGCGTCCGGGTCTTCTCATAACCATGCAGCTAGAAAAGCAGATCCTTACTCTATGTCTGGAGCTTTACACCCACCGCCACCTCCACCGCCTCCGCCTCCTCCCCCTTCTTCTCACCCTGCTCAGATTTGGAACACTCAGCCCATGGTGAATGGAATGCCTGCCATAGCACCAGGATATCCCCATCTGACAAATCATTATGTTCATCCTCCCCATGGTTACCCTCCACAGGTAGCCCATGCCGGCGGTTATCCTAGCTGGCCCATCGCTCAACAATACGTCAATCCTCTCGGCTTGCCAGTTCCTCAATCGGCCTCGATGCCTCTGCTTCCCCAGCAATACCCGGCATATTACCCTAGTTATGGTCCAAGCCCAAATCTTGGCCATATCCCCCCACCTCCACCGTCTATGAATCGGCCTCAGGGTTTTGTGGAGAAATGCGTTGATGATGATACAGCTGATATGGTTGAAGAACGGCCTGGAAAGTCCGGAAAGCATAGTGGATCAATTGTTGACAATATTCGCTCAAGCCATGCGGGGAAACGCAGCGAGGAGCTACGAGAGAGAAAGCTATCTGAGAGAGAACGTATCAGCAGACGCATTCGACACTTTCATATCTGCGCTGGCTGTGGCAAAAAAAGATCTAAAGAATACCAACGTACACATCCGTTGAAGAGGGGCGAGATTCCTGAACCAGACTATTGCCACCGATGCATACGGGATGCTATCATAAGTGATACGGAATCATCAGGCAGCCTTACTGCTGATGATGTCTCCTTTATCCAGGTAAGATTTCCGAGAAGTGAACTTTGACAGATAGCGGCTAATCCAACCCTTTGCAAAGTTTTCAAAGGAGGATCCAGTGTCAAGACAGAGTACTGATGAGAGTCGGGCTGTCGAAAGCGGCAAATATACTCTTGAGAAGACCCGTCGAGGACCACGGTGGATCAAAAGGTCAAGACGTCTCAGCCTGCTATCAGGGATGCTATCTAGTGCGGCGAAATCTAAAAGTCGCCAGAATGCACCAGAGTCGTTTCCCTCAGCTGAAGAATCGAGATCCAGGGCTTCATCGCCCGCCCTGAACTTGGATATGAACCTTCGCCCTGTCAAGCGTTCTGAAGGATCTTCTCTTTCTCGTAACACCTGGTCTAAGGAGAGCATGCTACCAGTTGAAGTTAGCGCACCCACGCATCCTTCCCATGAGCCAACCAATGAGGCAGCCTTAGATGTATCTAAATCCTCTTTCCGCGAAAAGTCTTCGACTCCGACATCTGGTCATGCTCGCGGCAAACGGACTGAGAAAAGACCGTTGCCTGAGCCCGCTACGTCGAGCATTTCCTCAGGACCATACCATACAGAATGTGTCACAAACCAACCTCAGCACGGAGATCGGCGGGATATTTCAAGAATGCCCCGGGGTTTGGGGTCTCAAGCCTCTTCTAAGGCATCATCAGTAGTACCTCCTAAGATGTCCCCTGGCGCCCCCCTCGACGATTCTTCTCAAATACCATCCAAGGTATCTTCTACTGGCATGAAGAGGGGGCTCGACTTTCCTGCAAAGGGTATTAAACTTGATGATGCTCGTCGAAACTCACCGACTGGATACAAGAAACCAAGTGTTCGCAACGAATCATCTGAAGTGGCAGTAAACATGTCCGACGCCTATCATGAGACCCATGATAACGTTGATAACCGACACACAACCTGCCAATCTATTGCTGAGAGCCATCAATCACCTAAGGAAAATAGCCCTAAGGAAGAGTTTATCCCATTTCCGGATGCTAATACTGAGAATCGTTTCGGAAATTGGGAAAACACGTATTTCCCGATGCCGGATAACCCTCCCAACTTTAAGTATACCGCTAGGTGGGGAGAACCATCTACGCCTTCAGATCCACCACACAGTGGCGCTGCCTTCCCATGCTTCATTAGGGACTCTTGGTCCTATTCCCAATCCGACATTGAGCGGGAGGCTGAAGAGATGGCCGAGCAAGATCTGGCTGCAGCTGGTAAGCTCTTTGGCGATTTTGGAAGCTCTTGGGGTGGCTCTGGCACATCATCCTTCCCCATCTCAAGCTATCTGACTAGAAGCATGATCTCGATAGAATCCTGCGATTCCGATGAATACCGTAACGATAGAAACGTTGCTTATGAGATGGCCGAGGCTTCGGATGCCGAAGAGACGGTCGGAGGCGAGGATAAGTCAATCAAGAAATTAGGTAAATGTTCCATCATTCTGATTTGGTATCTCATCTTCGTCAAGCTAACCATGTAATTCATGTAGAATTTTCTAGTGAGAACGACCAAGAACGGAAAGCTGCTGGGAAAGCGCTTAAGCGGTCTGGGGAGATTCGAAAGAACCTTTCGCAGCCCGCAAAACTCAATGCGGCAGACCTGTACAATAAGGACAACAACAATTCAGACACCCTGTCTGATATATTACCACCGGTCACTGGCTCTTCTTTGATCGCACACACAGGACATTCCCTTGAGGAATTAGCAACGAACCCTGCTGACCCACGAGACCACGACGGAACCTCTGCTAGCGGAGCGCGCCAGCGCCTCCGTCGCCTTGTACGACGATAGATTCACCTGAATTGGTTTGGTTTTTGTGTATTACTACTTACTCCAGTTGCATTACCTCTCGCACAGATGTTGCAACCTGCTCTTCTTCTGTTGGGGAGCACTGCTTGATTGTCAGATCCTGCTACTGAACCCTTCGGACTATGTCTATGAGACCTACTCTCTTGACCTAAAGGGTCTAGCTGAGTGTGTCTGTTACAGCCAGCTGTCTTGGCGTAGAGACAATTGTGATTTTCTAGTATAAAAAAGGAGAGGCGGGCTATGAATGAGAAGTAAGAAAAAGGAGAGGGGAGATTTGTATATGGAGTAGTCAGGGATGATTGACGAAAGGGGAAGAGAGATAACTGTTAGTTCGCGAAGTCCATCGGATGCCCATTGTTTTCAATTGCTAGCTATTGTTTACGCAAAAAGGGTCATCGTCATGACATAGGTAACTTCAGATAGGGACAGCAAAAAAGGAACCCAAATATTAGGAAAAACTAATTTGGAGGTTTGGTGATAGTGACTATCGAATGACTTAGCCAGAGAGCCATATCGTTCAAGCTGATCCATCATTTATACACAAAATGAATAAGAGTACCAGACAAATCCCCCACAGTAGTAGAGACTATATAATAGGTATAGGGGGTTAGTTAGCTTGGTATGTATGCGTAAGCACCTGAATGAATACTAGCAGCACCCCATCATCTATAATCGTCAATTGAGCTGGGATTACTTAATAGATAAAGTACTTCTTGTTTATAGTATAAAGTTGTTTACCATCTGCAATTTTTTAGGTTTTCAGGTTAAAAAAAAAAGAGCTGCATTGACCTGTTATTCATTTTAATATAGGGTTTTGTAAAACCTAAATCTATCACCGACAATTTAACAAGGCCCGCTTGGCTCAGCGGTAGAGCGCCTCACTAGTATTCCAACTAGGTCATGAGGAGGCGACTGGTTCGACTCCAGTAGTGGGCAGCTTAATTTACTTAATATATTTATTAACACTGATTAACTTTTCTTTTTCCTTTTTTTATATTTTTTTTTTATATTAAATAAACCTGCATTACTAGGTAGTTTATCTCTCATAATAAATTTAAATCAAGTTTATATAATATGGGATGGCTTTTATACAATGTTATATAATATATAACATCTTTCTCTTTATATATAATATGCACTCACTTATTTTTTTTACGTGGAATATTGCATACTTTTCTTGGTATATCAATCTTCACAAAATGAACCCAGTTGGTTTTGGTCATTATCGTCCCCAAATGAAAATTTCACATCTATCCTCTCGTTATTCTCTTTTTGATTTATATGATACAATTGCCTACCCTGCTTTACCGACCGTACATGATGACGTTTCCCATCCTGGCACCTACCCAGCCAATAAAACAAGACTTATAGCAATAATTGATAGCGACCTTATTTTCTTCCCCATCTCTAGACAGATGTCGCTTTCTAAACTTAGATTTTCATGCTCGCATAACAAAAAAAAAGTTTAGTCTACTCTCAATACCCTTGGGCCCCGCTTTTTGCTAGCCTTCTTCTTCTTGTGTCCCTTTTCGAACGAGGCAGCCGAGGCATGGTCCCGACCAACGTTATCGAGGTCCTTGACCTTGTAAATCCTAATGATCCAGTTCTCGCTGGTGTAGGCTTCTTCGAGTGTGTTGAGGACCGGACCCTGTTCTGGTAGCCGAGCACCTCTGACACGGTCCTGAGCTTGGCCGGGGGGGAAGAGAGACCCGTAGTTGTAGTATGACATTTTGTACCTATTTATATAGTTAGCCACATAGAGCAATCTTTTCAGCAAGGGGATTGGATCTTACATTAGACTGTTTTTCATAGTCTCTGAAGCCTCGGAGTCAACCCTATATTCCCCACGGGGGGTGAAGTAATCACGTTCCTTAACTTCGTCTGGCCAGATACCCTCAGCGATTCTCACCATCCAGAGGAACTTGTTGATATCATCGCCCGAGTAACCGAGAAGGCCCCCAAAGACCACTAGAACATAGTCGACCTCGTGCTGGCGCATAATGGGATAGCTGACTTCTTCCCGGGAAGCCATTGCCTTACCGACCGTGGCGATATGGGTATTGTTCCAGGTGTTGTTGTCCACTAGGGTTGGCCGATCGGCCATACCGCCAATTTGATAGCCATAGTCCCACCAAGACATGATCTTGGCATCCTCACGAGTGTTTTGCCGAAGCCATTGATAAGCCTCCCGGTAGTCATCAATAATATGCTGGCTACCATCGGGCATGCGGCTTGCGAGAACGACGGAAGGAGAAGAGTATGCATTTGAGGTGACCCAGGTGCAGTGCTGCACAAAAATGAGTAGGTAAAGAACCATGGCACCAGCGATAAACCCCTTCCCAACGACATTATAGATGCCAACCACAGGCTGGGACGATGCGCGAAGACCGCCCTGTTTCGATGCCTTCTTTGCATGGCCATCTGATGCTTCCTCCTCAGTATCCGGGACCTCCGGCGACCTAGCGACTAGGTAGGTGTCGAGGAGCTGAGAAACAGCAATAGCAGCGGCTACACACACCACTGGCGTAAGGGTAAGCATCAGCCGCACCATGACACCAGCAAAGTAGCTTCCGAAGAGAGCGTAGACTATGATAAAGACGTGCTCGTCCTCGAGCTTCTGGAAACACAGGTAGACACCGGCGGGGAATAGCCATATCAACATGTTCAGGTCGAAGAAGAAGGCAGGCCAAGCAGTAGGCTGATGTTCAGAAACAGAGGCAATGATGGGAATATGAATCTTGGCATAGCCAGTATCCCAGAGCGAATAAAACCGGCCTGACCAGGGGGCGATATATCCACCGGCTGTAAGGCCAACGAGGCCGAGGAGCGAAAGACCGAAGATGCCACCCAGGGCTACGTAGAGGAAGGTCTGGAATTGCCGGCTGGGGATAGCAGAACGGACATATTCGAGGAACGCAACTAGTTGAAGGAAGCCGAATATACCTAGAGAATGTCAGCTGTGATGTTGATGGCACTTGTTATGTGTTGCTTAATACTCACCCAGTGCTGGCATGTGTTCACTTGTACGAACGGGCAGAAAACCGACGAAGGGAATCTGCATGCTAGCTAGAGTTCCCAGAGCATACCATGTGGTATACGATACATAGAGGCGCATGCTAAATCGGCCCATACAGATGAGCACGAAGGCGTGCAGAGGGACCAAGCAGGTAATGAATGCATATCCACCCCAGGATGCCACCATATAGCCGTAGAACAGGGCGCATAGTGCGCCCCATAGCACGGATCCCAGCTTTAGAGCCTTGATCCAGAGGTAGAAGGTGAATACAAGGAGGAAGATGGCAATGGCCTCGTTATCGTAGGAACCGGCAACGGATCGCGAGATGTAACCGGGAGCTATACCCATGAAGGCAGCGGCGAGGAGGCCAGCCGACGACGAGGTGGTCATTTCATTTGTGAGGAGGTAGGTGGCAAAGGCAGTCAGACCGGAACATGCAGGAGCTAGGAGCACACAGATATTCCGGATATCGACAGGGACGGTCAGAGCACGGAGGAGATGGTATATGACACCACTGGTGACCATCAAGCCGGGATAGAGGGTCCCGCCGGTGACGCGGCCCAGAGGATGCCATGTTCGGTCGTCGAACCAGTCCCAGAAATCGTAGAATCCGTTTGCAACCAGGTATTTCGTCGCTCTGAAGTTGAACCAGGGATCGACTGCAAAGCCAAGAAAGTTAGAGATCGGGGAGAGGGAGAGGGAGAGGGGGAGGGAGAGGAAGAGGCTATATATAGAAAGGTTTATTATACTGACATTCATGGATGATACTTTCGAAACCTGGAGAGGAAAATTGGACGTTTAGGTTAGCAATTCTATCACCATCTAGGATAATAATAGGGTATGGCACATACGAATAACGGAGAACAGACGGCTGGCAATGGCAGCACCAGCTATGAAGCAGAGGATGATCACTCTCAAGAGGGTTTTGGTGCTCTGGTTCTTGCCCACATTGATCAGAAGATCAACGGGGCCAGAGCTGGCAGTCGTTGCGACAGCCATTGTCGGAATTTGTTCCCTCGAAGATGTGACAATTGGCAGTGGTGTCACATCTAGAGAGTCTTGTCTTAAGGGATAAGTGGTGTAGGGTTAGGTTAGGTGAATTGGTTGCAAGTTGAATAGTATGGAGAGAAGAAAAGGTTGGTGATAGATGGGGGGGGAAAGGTGATAAGAGGACAGCTGGAGCTTTCAAGTTCACAAGTACATCATTTTTGGCGGGCTGCGCAATCAGTACCTAAGCTTCCGATCCTGCAGGGGTCTCGTCACCCCACATTCAAAGTGGCTTTAAGTTTATTAACCTAGTGTGTTACCTAGGTAGGTACTATACCTAGGGTGTATCAGATGGATTACCTAATAAACCTACTACCTACTATCATACCTACCTCCTATTAGATGGAATTTATCCTACCTAGTAGTCACTTACTTGTTTACCAGTACCTACTTAACTAAAAGGTAAATATTTTGAATAATGAGAAGGAACTTGGAAAAAGAAAAAAGAACCAAGCCTTCTTACTATAGTTAACCTGAGTTTACGTTTATCACAGATGACTACCTTAGGTAGTAGGTAAGTAGAATATTCAACTACATGTCTTCATTTGTCCATTTATTTATTCTTTTTTATTCTTTTTCAATAAACAATATCTAAATGCAGGTAACATACCTGCTATTCAACTTGCCTATATTTCCATACTACTACATGTCAAACGAGAACATGAATATATTTAACATGTTCTCGGTCTCAACTAGATTTTCGACTAGTTTATACACATGAATTGTGAAGGAAAAGAAAATAGGAAAAGCTGTCATGGTACAAAGTCAACAGATATGCGCCACGGTTTCTCTATGCCATGCCATGCCTAAGCTAAGCCGGAAATCAAGACAGTGACACCACAAGCATCGTGGTCAGATATGGCCCTCCCAATGGTCTAGGTAACTGATAGTATTGTACAGATGTACAGCGAACTCAAGGAAATCTATAGGCTGGGTTCCGGGAGCATCGCAATTATACACCAAAGCCTCCCAGGAAGGCAGTTTCGCTGTTGGACTAAGTAAGCCGCACCAGCTATCCTCGTCGACCCCGACTCCGAACCTATCCCACAAGCCTGTCTCTTTTTTTTTCCCACCCCCCAAGTCTATTTCCGCACCCGTTTCTTCTGTCCTGTCCTCTTCTGTCTTGTTTCTTTTTCTTTTTTTTTTTTACCCACATATTATACTCGAAATCCATCCGCTGCATTTATTGCTTTTGTGCGGCTAGGGCGTTCAGGTAGGCTTCTAGATCAAACTTGGGGTCCATCGGGTCTTGGTCCACTACTCAATCCGTCAGTACCGCTTGCGCGCCACCAGAAGGGGGAAGGGGGAAGGGGGAGGAAGAGGAAGAAGGGGGGAGAACGTACGAGGGCTCTTTTCTGTCGAGAGTGGTTGTGGATTCTTGGACTTGTTGTACTCAGCTCGGGCCTGCTCTATCAATTGCTGCTTGTGCTCATATTCCCTCTGTGCAGCAGCGGCTTTTTGAGTGGCCGTGATGGTCCGCTGGTGTGTGAAGCCGTAGAAAACACCGAAAGCTAGGGCGGAGTACCGGAGCACCTGCGAAGAGGGGGGATGATTAGCTGCTGAGCAAGTCAAGCGAGTTCAGAGTTGGGACATAGTATGGTGTGGTGTGGTGTAGCATGGTGTAGTGTGGTGTGGTGGAAAAAGGTACGCACGTTGACTCCCGACGCTGAAGACATTGGGCCGGTTTTTGTCGCGCAACTAGTTAAGGAGAAGAGGAAGAAGAGAAGGGTAGATGCGCAGACGGGCAGGGGATTGCCAATTGGCCCGTTTCCAGGGAATTTCGAGAGTTATAGAAAGGTGAGGAGGGACAGGTGCGTGAGGTATGGGAGGATTGCACGATGTATGATCGGGAATTTTCGCATACATATTTTTT